AGATGCTAGGCGAATGTACTGTGTACGATTTGAGCTCAAGTTGGTTGAGTTACGCGTATTAAATCGTAGATATTCTAAGGCTAGTAAATGACGAATTTCCCATGTTTATTGAAGTCACACTCCTTCCCTATTATCTACTTCTGATATATATACATCTGCATATATGCATATATATTATATATATATATATATATATCGTGTGATAACTGATACGCAGCATTGATGACGATATGCCACTTGTCATGTTTTTTTTCGCACATGTCATACATGACGTTCTCTTGTTTTTTGTAGAAACTTGTCACGATGAACATGACGCTGAACAGCGATGGTACGGTGATGTTCAACGCGACGTTGTTCGCACTTGTTCGAACCTCCCTGCGCATCAAGACAGATCGTGAGTTCCATATATAGCTATAACATCAACAACTATCTATCTATGTAGTCCTTTAACTAAAGTATCTGTCTAAGCAATACCATGTCTCCCTGGGTACTGCCGGAACGTACCCTGGTACTATCTAATATGCCGGACCGTACCTCGCCTACTCCACTAACGAGTCTAGGGAGTCACCTACACCTACTACCTATAACCCTAACCCTAACCATATCAGATAGTTACCAGGGTACGTTCCGGCAATACCCAGGGAGACATATAGACCCTATAGCTATCAGCCTTAGTAACAAAGTGCTACAAAGTCCATTATTTGACATATGTATGTGTATAAAAACAGGTAGAATTTGATCTAGCTTAATTGCTTGATAGAAATAATATATAGATATAGATATATAGATATAGAAATAATATCCAAGGTGGGGGAGGAGGTATAACCCTGGCAGCGTTACTAAGCAACTTATTTAGGATCCCTAACCACAACACTGCTTGGTAGAGCTACCTGTCAATCACTCATGATAATGGATCAATATCAAGAGATGCAGACCAGTATAGAAAACCAATCAAAGTCATATATATATATATATATCTTTTTACACTGCTTTGTACTAGCTGCTGAATTGATGTTATTTTTTTCAATATTTTTAGCCAATAAAACACCGGATCAACTTAATGAGGAGCTTCGTTTTATCATCAAGAAGGTGTTCAAAATAAAGAACCAGAATCTCCTAGATGAGGTGGTGCCACCTCCAGGAGGTATATCAAAACACGTTCTCACTCCTACTAATTAAATGTCTAGTACATAGACTACATGTAATGTATGGTCAGGTACTAACATGCATCAGCATGACAACTGCACACCATTGGTGTTGTCTAGCTTACCCTTGTTGTATACAACATTTGCACTGGCTGACTATTGCAGTACTGTCGAGCTAGACGAGGTCTTCAGCTTCTCATTGAACTTTAGCAATATCATACAGTGAAACTAGAAGTACATTCCACATAGGTAGAGATATCGATAATATAAAGACTATATACGCACACACGCACACATAATCAGGGGAAAATACTCGTGAATGTGTCAGTTTTACAAATTTGTGATTATTTACTCCTGATGTTGTTGTTGTTGTTTTCGGTTTCTGTATTTTATACTGGACTCAAGGGTTTAGATCCACATCAGTAGAAACCCGCTCCAGGAATCTGGCTCGGTCCAGTTTTGGCAGCTCTCACGCTTGCTCTCCATGTGACACGATCCAAGGGGTCTACAGCGGAGAGATTCCACTGTTCCCTATCCTTCTTCACAACCTCCTTCCAAGACATCTTCGGCCTCCTACGTCTCTTTACACCAACAACTCGAACTTCACCCACTGTCTTGATGGCACCTGATAAATATAATAATATATATATGTACAACTATAGAAATATAGACTATATATAAAAGCAGGAGGTGTAATCATGCTTGATGTTGTTGATGATTTCAGTCGAGAGTGAGGTGACGGTGGGCATGTTTTACGCGACCTTCCTCATCCAGGACTACTTCCGCCGATTCAAGAAGCGCAAGGAGCAGCGGCTGAAGACCGGCCTGACGGGCGCGCCGGCCGCTGCCACCGTCGCTCTCACGGTGTGTGCCGCTGCTGTCTGGCTCTGTAGTCTTAATCACTAGAGTGATTAAGACTGCTAATTATACATATGATATGTTATGGTCACGTAAATGAATCAAGGTGTATACATCTTGATTCATTTACTTGACTATGAATGAATGTGGCGAACTCTTTTGCAGCTGGTTTGTCCGTGGGGTTGTGGATATATGATGTTGACGCCATACGATACTACTACTACTGTCGCTACGTCACGCGTCGCACTGGCGACGGCATGTGGTTCCGCTGACTGCATTTATACAATAGTTTTACATGTTGTTGTTTTTACTTAGATCGCTCTGGGTGAATTCGCTGACTTTTCTAGATGTGTGTTATTTACTCCTGATTCGTATTACGTGCATTACTGATTGCTGATTGTATTATTATTTACTGCTGACAATATGTTATATTTAGATGTCAGGTGTGTTTTGTGTTCGTATTCCCATGACTGTGTGGTGTGTATGTAAGGATCGCTTCAAAAACTCTCCATGTTTCTCTCACAGGCGGGAATGAGGAAGATCTTGGACCTAGGGCCCGAGCTTCGAAGGACCATCTCCGGTGATCTGGAGATCGACAATTTCCACAAAAACGCCAATGCTGAGCCAATGCACAGAGTAAGCATGGTGACCTTATTGAAGTAGGATTAAACACAAGATTTCTCAAACAATTTCCTATTATTCCCACACATAATTTCATTGTTGTCATGCTCTATGTTGGGGGTGTATATGCTTAGCATGCGTGAATCTAAGAAACTGTGCGAACAGCATTGGCAACCTGCCCTGTCTAGGTAACTTATTTTAATTGTCCACTACATAGTCTGTGACTGTAATTTCAACCATAATTTATCGTTCAGTGTACTTTCAGGATAATCTATATTATTTCATACATTTTCTCAATTATCAATAGTACAAGATACAAATTATACATTTTTTTCCAACAGCAGTGGAGAAACTTTTCGTGATGGCAATGAATCGTTTTCTGAGTTTCTTGCTACATACCACCTTGTGTTTTGCAGCCAACTCTAATGTAATTAAGCTGCCGTTCACGAACGATATCTGGTGTGCTTTGCAGCGTAACCACTGGTTGTTTGGCAACGTCCTCGCAGCGTTCGGTAGAGACAGCGGCCGACGCAAGAGCAGAGACGAGAGATCTCACCGGAGCACGAACAAGCCGTCGCACCGTGATCGCAATTCTTACGACAGAAAAAACAGGTGTCGTGATTTTTCTTGAGTAATGGATGCTGGGGTGTGTTACCCGAGTTGTAGATTTAATGGATCGTTGCCGTGCAAAGTGAATATTGTCTAATGACTCGAAGCTGCATTCACGAATAATCATTTCAAATCTGTCGTCTGTACGATAAAAGGAGTATGTGATAATTATTTGCTGCATTTTCAGTTCTTGTTGCACGTAATTTACCACTGCTCTTTACTGCTTTAGTATCTATAACATGTATGATGTGAGTCCGAATAAAGAGATTCAGAGAGCACGACTACCAGGTCAGCCACTCTCTCTCAACCCGGACAAGAAACCAAAAGTTACTGAGTAGGTTGATCTCATATATTTTCTTGTATGTATTATGTGAAACAAAATACCTGATGACGAATTTTCTACGTTTTGTTTTATATTTCCATAGCGACGTAATTGCAAATGGTGCCACGGTTTCCCACCAACATTAAGGATTATCATATATTCTCTGTTAAGATGATTGTATTATGTGCCAGCTGCTCTATTAGACAATGTTTTATTAATTACCTACTTACAATAAAATATCGTAATCGTCAGTGTAAAACACGAACGTTTGGCACAAACTACCCTTTTAATTATAACCCCAATTAATAACTGATCATGAAATCTACACACCCGTGGTCAACTTATAACACATAGTACCGTATACTATATAATATACTAGACATCTATACACTAACTAACTAACTAAACTCCTAATGTACGTGATAGTAGATGATTGCTGATAAGATAGTAACCTGTAACAGTACATCTGATTAATTGGTTGGTTGGTTGTTGTTTTATTGGCTACATGTATTGAAAAACAATTAAGCAGCTGGTACAAAGCAGTGTTAAAAGATACATGTAACTTTGATTGTTGTTGTGCCGGGGTGCAGGATACCGACTGATGAATCAGAGGACCAGCCTGAGCCGAGCACGATGCAGCTGAACCCGTACGTGAAGCCGCTGCCAAAGCCATCCACCTTCAAGCGCATCGCAAACTTCTTCGGATACAGGGTGAGATTTCGGATGATTAACTTAAATTAAATTGATTTTGACGCACGTGATTAAATTTGACTGGACAGGAAAGGCAGGCTGTAACCTCATAACCTCGTAAATATTAGTCTTCAAAGTCCAAGAGACTGTATCGAAGACGGAAAGAGACAAAGTTGATCTAATAGACAGATCAATACTGCGGATCTGCTGTACTGCGCGATCGAACGGTGCTGTCGATGAGAGACAGTATCCTTGTGCGGAATCCTCGCTGTTTGTTCGGTGTTTGGTCAGATCACTGATTCAGGCTAACAATCGAGCCAATCCTGCTGACGAGATGGATTCGTGCAAATGCAATATGGCAGCTTGTGTAATTAGCCACTGTGTAGTTGTTGCTTGCCACTCATTGTTAATTAGGCGATCGTTAATGGGTTAATTGTTACGACAGAAAGGCATGGGAATCAGTTGCAGTTATTTGGGCAGATCGCGAGGTTAGGTAATCGCTATCATAGATATCTGAGCAGATATAAGACGCACCAAGATTAGATTATGCGATCACGATTAGAGAGATCCGTCCAAACGAACACGATCCGAGTCTGCGAGACACTCCAATCCAAAGACCCTTAACGATTTTCTTCTGGGTTCTTCTCTCTCAAGAGATCGCGATTTCGCGCGGGCGATTCCATACGGCGGCTGTCTCGTTGCAGGATGGTCCCACCGTGGCTCCTCGAGACCTAGAGGTTGCCTACCAGCCGAACACGATGGGCAACCACTACAGCCCCAAGGCCAACTCGATCGCCGGCAACCAGGCGAAGAAGGAAGACAAGAAGCGACGCAGCAAGAGCACGGAGAGGCATCCGCAGCGAGGCTGGAAGAAGGAGAGCGGCAGGAGCAGTCGCAGCAGACGACAGGAGAGCGAGTCTGATGGTACGATAGTCTCTACTGCATTTACTGCTGCGTTTCTATCATTCACATCGCCATGAAGAGAACAGCTCAGCTGTATACTACTAACTAGAGTAGATGTGAAAAATCTCTCTAATGCTGTGTTATAGAAACATTCATCTAACGCGAATAACACTTAATTGCCTGCTAGGTTGATTGTTAATGTTGTTGAGTAACCATAACACGAATAACACTTGCCATGCTAGGGTGATTGTTAACGTTGTTGAGTAACCATGCATGCGTTTGTTTGGGCATCGACATTCCCCAAGATTCATTTTTCCAAGATTGCTTGATTAATCGAGATTTGTAGAGATTCGCTTCGCAGCCGGATGAAGCACAGTGCACTGCATACCTTATGTAAACAATTTCCTCACCTGGCCAGCCCTCTCTAACAACTACCTGTTGCTTGCATGCACGCTGCTACATCAGTGGAGACGACGGTGTGCCTGAGTGAGTCGATTGAGGCCCTCAGAGAACCTCACTGATGCGTGTGTGTGGGATGTTGGGTGGGTGGGTGCAGCCACGCAGGCAAGTATTCAACAACCTGGTCACTTATTGCTGTGTGACTAACATATAGAGACTAACATCTTGTCATTTTGTCTTTCTGCTACGTATAGGGAGTAGTAGTGGTAGTGACGGTGGTAGTAGTGGTGGTGGTAGTAGTAGTAGTAGTGGTAGTGGTAGTGGTAGTGGTAGTGGTAGTGGTAGTGGTAGTGGTAGTGGTAGTAGTAGTAGAGGTATTAGTAATAGCAACAAGAGAATCAGTAACAGCAACAGCAGCAACAGCAGCATCAATCTCTGTGCAGTGTACAGGTGTAATAGTGTTAACTATAGTTATAGCACTGTGCAGTACCATGCTATTTCGGTGTGCGTCGGTTCTTGCTGCGTCACCACGCCACGAGCTGCCCCGCACTCACCTGCGTTTCCTGTTTAAGCGATTTCACGTCGCACGAGGAACGATTCGGAGGAGACGTACCATCCCCCAATGATCCTTCCCGATCCGACGCTCACTGTGGGGGAAGGAGCCGCGCAGGCACTGGTGGCAGAGGTAGGGAATACTACGGACGTGTGTTCAGGCATGAGAACAGGTTGAGATGTTTTTGGAGGAAATATTACATTGAATTGTCATTTAGTATGAACCATTGTCGCCGAGTTTCGCGTGTTGCCTTACACAGACATATGCATCTCCTGTGTTTCAGACCTCATCTTCTCTTGAGTCGTTGCTTGCAGATGCTTGCGGCCGCTCGCGTCTGACTTAATATACATGTCATGTGTTTCACACCTGGTCTTCTTGTCGGTCATCACTCCAGATGCATCTGACCTATCGTACATCTTGTATCTCAGATCTCGCGTGTTGTTCTTGCTTGTCATACATCTCCTGTGTCTCTCATCTTCTCGCGTGTTGTTCTTGCTTGTCATATGTATACATCCCGTGTGTCTCACATCTCGCGTGTCATCATTGCTTGCAGATACTGCATCAGGGTGGGCTGAACCCGAACCTTGCCGGCATTGCGCGCGCGGAGCTCGCCGAACACATGAACATGAGCGAGGTCGAGATGGACTCGGCCGCCAATGCCCTCGTGCGCCACCACAGCCGACACAACGACCACCGCCCGCCGCAGGGGCGTCGCCGCGACGACGGCGGCGCCGACGCGCGCCTCAACGCGTCGCATAACAACTCGGCGGCTGCGGCGCCGGAGAACCGATGGACGGTCGGTGGCGACGAGGAGGAGGAGGACGTCGATTACGACAACGTGGAGCTAAGGTGCGGCTTGTAGCGTCCGGCCGGCACGCCACTTCGGAGGTGTCTGAGCGCGCAACGGTGCTGCCATCTGACGGTGGATGCAGCATCGGAGGACTCGTCTGAACGAGCAGCGGCGCTGCGACCTGGGAGTGGACACACCATCGGCAGAATTAACCGACGAGTGATGGTGCTGCCACCTGGGAGTGGACACGACGTCGGCAGAGTCGTCCGCCGAGCGATGGGGCTGCGACGTGAGCGTGGGTGCGATCGTGGCGTGGCTGCTACTGGGAGCATGTGCTGGGAACGCAGTTCTGGGCATACGACTAAACGGAGTTCGTCCCGCGACGCAGACCAGTGCTTGTAGGTGTTCACAATGCACTGTCGCCACGATCGGCCGATACAATTAACTCGGCGTGCATCCGACGAGGCAGCTAGTTGATGTTGGGTGAGGTCAGCAGAGCGGTAAAGTTTTGGCGCTATCGTCGTAGGCACGGTGCGGACGTGGCGGTCATGGTCACGCGTGCGGGCCTCGCGCTGTGTGGTTTTGGTGCGCAGTGACACAACACAATACAACACACACAGCGGCAGCATCCACTAGCAGGAAGCAGGATTCGCGTTTCTGCCGGCGGCGGTTTCTCGCGAAGAAACATTTTTAACCTCGCGCCAGAAACGCCCGGAGTTTTCCGCGGAACCTCCGGAAGGCCAGCGTTGCAGCAGCACACGTGCGATATGGACGTCGGTACGGTGGCGCCGCACGGTGTGCGATAGCATGAAGACGTAGCTTCCTCCCCACGCACACACGCCTCCGCCTATCTGTTCCCATCGGCGGTACATGGCGGATGGGTGTGTGAGCGGTGCCACGCACCCGGCGAGGCGTTGGCGTGTGGTCTCGGCCAAGATTTGTGATGGACCGGCTCGATCAGAAGCACGCATTTATGTCACGATGTCGATTTTAGCACATGCCGCGGCTTTCGTGTCGACTATAGTGACGCATTCAGCAATGAATTTAGTTTAGGGCGATGCAACGGATGTGAATGAAGAATACCGATGCAGAGCAGGGATCTTTCTACTTGGGCGGCTTCAGGCAAACGAAGCTGGAACTTTTTTTGGGACTTTTTCACCTACGTGCCATAGTCGGCGACGTTCGTGTCACGCCGTACTGCTGTTTGGCTACATCATGTGCTCATTTGAGATGAAAGGCATCTAAGAAGCTTGTGTGATGGTTTATAGTTTAGACGTTCTCACGTTCTCCGCTATTGTTAAAGTTGAAATGATTCGGAGGTTTACACATCACGTATTTCGATCGCAGGTTAGTCGTACTGGTGTAATACATAAGTAATAGCAGCTACATGTGTCTCTGTATCAGTGTTTACTGTGTGCCAGTTAGCTATCAATGCATTGGTTGTAAATTTCTCAACTCTAATGAAATTTCTTTCTTTTTTTCATTTAGGATTCATTACCATCATCGAATGTTTAAGTGGCTTTGATGTGTAATCTTTGTAATTGACATAGGAAATTGATTAGCCACTTTTCTAATGCTAGCCAAAACGATGATAGCAATATGAGAAACGTGGTTTGGTGCAGATGCGCATCTACAGTATAGGCCGACATAGCAGGTTCATGCATGCGCACAGAAATTGTATGTATTGTGAAGTTAAAAGTAGGTTTCACGTTACAAATCCGGTGACACCAAGTGAGTGTGAGGCTGTGTGATAGAACTAGGTTGCCTGCATTTCATAAGCTGTACAGCTAACTAAATTCAATTTGCCAGTAGCCAGCCGTAATAGCGCACGATAGATATGATTTGGTCTATGTTAATATACCAATTATGCATTTTCTGATTTTCGAAATATTGGGTGTTCGAATCCTGGATCAGTTGAACTCGTTGGGAAAGTGCATTCTTACGATTTAACAGACATGCAAGTTTCCCATTTCGCGTGGTCTCATGGAGAAGCAAGGCAAAATCATCTCTATTTACTCATGTGAGCACGCGTGCGAATGTTATAACACGGGGTTGTGCGCCGGACTTGCCCCCATCACGCATGGACAAACAATGGCCGTGTGAGCAAGCAGGCCTGCAAGCCGATCGTGGGAATGCATTAAATTACGCGGCCAAACTGTGTTGCTGGTTAATTAATTGAAATCCTTTGCGAGAAAAAATGCGAAGCTCAAGGAAGATTGCACGAGAGATTTTAAACTTCGCGTGTCCTTTTATGAAATATATACGAGACACGCGTGATCATGAGGTCACGCGGCAGCGATCGTAAACTTTCACATACGTGCGTTTCGCGTGTAAATCTGAGCTGGGCAGTGCATAATTTCTTCCCTAGGCTGCATCTGCAAATACGAGAAGTATTGTGTGTATGGTTCTCGGCAGCTAGTCATGCGAGCTTTTTTGGTTTACCAAGTTTGTTTCTGTATTTATTGAGTAGGAAGTGACGGTCGATTGTGTGACTGAGAAATGGGAAATGGTTAGTCCTGCGTGTGCGTGTGCGTGTCGTGTGTGGGTGAGAGTACCAGGTGTATATGTGATATGGGGAGTGGGGGGATTGTATATACATATGAGCATGTGAGTGCGTGCATGCATGCGCGAGTGTAGAGGAGAGAAGTGGAGGTTGTTACGTGTGGTTCAACTCGTACCTCTACTACTCGTACGTTACTCGGGGCGATCTGGCCTAAAGTAATGCAGTCGTTTTTACAACCATCCGAAATCACGTATTTTTGACTGCTGTGTTTAAGTTCTCCCTCCCTAACCTCGTGATAACAATTATATACCCTTAGCACTGTTATTTATTTGAATATCAACTAATTGTTTTATCTCTGCCAGTTTTACTGCGTACCTTCTTGTTTATATCTAAGTGGCAGCAATCAACGAAGTATCCATATTTCAGTTTAACCTCCCGAGTGTTTCTCTGTCATAATAATTGTGATTGTATTTTGATGCATATATTATTTCAGTAAGGAGTGTTGGAATTATTCATTTGATTTAATTTATCATGACGAAATAAAGCAATTTATGTACATAAAATGTGGAAATCCTTTATTCTTCATATTGAAGACAACTAATAATAAATAGAGTTACGAACAATATGGAAGCCCCGGCCTGTAAGCCCCCGTTTCACACATTTAGTGATCACAGTCATGTTACTCGCAACTTCTTTTCATCAGAGACAATACAAAAGAAGTCTCCACAAGTCCTCTTATATTACCTCATGTGAATGTAATAGAATCTATGCATACCGTAAACACATCTAGACAATATACAACATACAGCAACATCATAGATTCATACAGCTCAACATGCAGAAATTTTACACATAAGTACTGCTGAGAGGGTCTATGTCCCCTAGGGTACTGCCGGAACGTACCCTGGGTACGGACCGTACCTCGCCTACTCCACTAACGAGTCTAGGGAGTCGTCTACTCCCTAACCCTAACCATATCAGATAGTTACCAGGGTACGTTCCAGTATACCTGACCGTACCCAGGCTACGTTCTGGCAGTACCCTGGGGTGCATAGACCCTATGAGCGTAAGTACAGGTCTATACAGTTATATAGATGTGTTCATGATAGAACAGATCACCCTCATTTATAAATGGTGGTGTAAGATGATTGTTAACACGAATTTACATGATATTCAACAAGACAGCACCCAACAAGACCATACCTTCAATGTAGCCTTGCAATCTGATCAATGGAGATGCCACCCAGTTAGACATTATTGGTCAAGCTAGACCAGTTTCAGACACATTTTTCACACGTGCATGAAAATTATTAATTTTATGGCACTTAATTATTTAGCAGCATTTTTAGAATTGTCTTTACAACATCGATGATCGATTTTCTTGTTCCAGAATATACATTATATATATATATATTAAAAGAATCATGAATACTGACTTCTCAACCTGGTATCGGTAGACTACAGATGTAGTTGTGCACGGGGATGGACAGGAATCCAGCAAGGCACGTTCCAGTAGAGTCTGATACACTGGCCACTGCGAGACTAAATTCCCTAACCTCTGGCGCCACCTATATGCATTAAAACAAGCCATTTTGGCAGTTATCCCAAATTACAACGGCAGGGTTACCATCCAGTCTTAATGAATAAGCAGAGGTAGAAACTAACTTTTGAACAAGGGAGTCCAACGGACTCCCTACCCTCAAAAAAAGGGAGTCCGCAGCAAAATGAGGGAGTCTGCAGTCTGAGGTTCAAAATTTAATATATTAACAATAACGCATGTGCTTATTTTTAAGATTCATGCAGTTGCACGTCTGCCAAATTTTCTTTGGAAATTAGCTGAAAAAATACAGTAATTCCGCGATGCCGTGCTCCGGAACGAACTAGTTAGTATGGCAGAATATTCAGGGAGTCACACGGACTCATGCATATTATGTTAAATCAGGGAGTCCGACAGTAAATCAGGTAGTATTATAGTAGACCGTTAATTTCGCACCCTGAATAAGCAGTCAACTTACTCGCTACACAAAATCTTAGCACAATAAACATCTATATATTTAGCAGCAAAATTTAACCAATATGTTGCCAAAGAAATCTGATAATAAAAAAAACATAATTTACCTCTTCTCTGATGGCATAGAAACAGTTGACATAGGCGCCGCCACCCATTAATCCCTCAAAGAGGACGACGATCAGAATGATTGAGATGTGTGGAACAAAGAGGAAGTACGCTTCCACTGTGAAAAATACAGCATTTGCCACCTGAAATGACATACATGCACTGGTAAACACTAACGATAATGATGACATGTAGTGATTCACACATGGAGTGTTCCTATCGTGCAGAACACCAACTACGTGTGCATGGTACTGCTATAGTCACACATCATCACATGTACAAAGGCAATACGAGTATTGGCATTAGAATACAGATAAAGCAGTAAACGTCAAGGAAAAAACTGCTACTTTTCCAACGGAAGAGTGACCGTCAAAATTCTGGTTATCATGATTAGCAAGGTGCATAACTATAATCTATAACTATAATCTATAGGTGCAGATTTACTTGCGCTAGGGGAACGTTTATATAACAGTATATGGGGTATCCCGAGTGAATGGGGCCAATAAAAACGTCTGCTCTTCCCATATCTCCTCTGGAAAAGTGTAGTTATTTCCACTTGCTATCTATGAAAGATCTGCTTGCTATGGTGAAGTAGAAATGTGTTTATTTCAGCCCTAGTATATATATATATATATATGCTTATATAGATACATATTGGTAGCTGAGCAAGAATATGATGCTGGCATGCCACGCTGACCTAAGCTGAAACATGATGACATGGTATACTTCACCTGCAGCAACGGAAAAACCCAGATTCTCTTCGTGTGGTAGACATTAACGGAGGATCGAGAAATGAAGACACCCATCTGATAGTCCACCTGATACCTAAAAACAGACACAGTAGTTGAAATATCACTGATACCTTCCCATTAAATATATATAGAATATATATAAATAAATATATATATATATCAGAAGTAGATAATAGGGAATAATTCCCTATTATCTACTTCTGATATATATAGAATATATAAAACTCTCCATACAACTAAATCACAGTACTTAGCAATGGTAGAATGTGGTTTTTTTACCATCGGTATTGTTCCGCTAATGTTAGCCAGATGTGCTCAAAGTAAATTAGTTCGAACAGAGCTTGATTGATGTAGTATTCAGCAACGTAGACTCCAAACAATGGCACCATATACTTGAGCAGTGGCTAAGGAAGAAAACAGTAACTGTCACACAACTTAGTATACAGCATATGACCAAGAACAGATCAAGAAAGGAATACTCACATCTATAATGCTTCAAACCACTCGAAAATATACCACATCATGTACCTTTTGCAAGCATAAGTTTTTCAATTATTCTTATATTATTCTTCATATGTTCAAGCATGAACATGTTTACACACAAATCAATGGCATATCGCATGGAAAACATATAGCATAGTTATGTTGACGTTTTCGTTTTTGTAGCTTCCATGATTTCATTTATAGAAATCTGTTACCTTTGAAGCAATAACAACACTGTTATTACACTGACACTAAAAACAACAAAGGGAGTTTTTGTACAGTAAAACATGAATACCAACAATATAAGATCTGACCAGTCAAACAACTGTGTCATTTACTGTATTAATTCTTTCCTAACGTTACTCTATAAAGTATTGATAAGCAACACAAGAGATGACATACTAGTATGAGCTTTAATCTTTCTTGTAGACACATCAGCTTAACATGGACTTTTCCAGCCTGTACTGCACCCTCTTCATGCTCTGCCACACAATCCTCATCATCTATAGATCAAAGTCACAAAAAACACTTTCAGACAGACATCAGGTACATTGTGAAAACTGAAAATTACACGCGACATGTTTTCTTTGCAGATATCTAGGTTTACTAGATAGTTGAATGCACGATTTTCTTTTCATGGTAAGATGAAGCATATGAGCCTTGGGAGTTTTATTGGCAGAGCTTCTGTACCTTCTGGCGAGGTATTGGGCGGCTGTTCTATCAACGGAGTCGTATCACCTGCCTTAACGCAGCATGGCGACGGGGGAGACGTCACATGATCGAGTATCACGTAGTAACTGAAACGACAGGTGAGCAAATGTTTCGCATGACGTGAAACAAACGACGTTCCAAGTGAACCATTCGTACGTCGAGACGTCTAGACGACTCTACGGTAGGCAACGTCGCCGGTACGCAATCAAGATTAAACAAAAACTGCAGAGGCAAAATTCAGATCCACGAGTTTAAACTTTTTAATGAAACATGAAAGTGTCAATGACACTAAAGCTCACCATAAAAAAGTACACAAATGAGCGAGTGCCAACAAGTCATTTTCAATTCAGCAACTATCCACCTACATTATATAAAACAAGAGTATATATGGGAGAACTCCCATTATATAGCATATCTCCCATTATATACTCTTGATAATTATATATGCGTAAATTGCAAACCCCCCCCCCCAAAAAAAAAGTTTAGAATAACTCAAAAATAGGTCAACTGGCGTGCTCCAAAATAGGACGTTGTCATCTCTCCCATGGGAGAGACGTGAACGTCCTATTTTGGAGCACCCCAGTTGACCTGCTTTCGAGCCACGCCCACTTTTTGGCAAAAATGGAAATGGCCATAAGTCAGTTCAGGTTCAACGGATTTTGCTCATTTTTGGTATGTGAATGAATGAGGATTGGCCCCAAAACATATCACACGGGTTTTGATATTTTTTAACAATTATGCAAATTAGGTAGATTTTGGCAATTTCACTATGCATTTCAGTGTCTGCCTACGGTCAACGATAACTCAAGAACCGTTTGACCCACATGTTTCAAATTGCATACAGTTGTTACTCCTATGGGAGAGATTTGAACGTCCTATTTCGAGCCACGCCCACTTTTTGGCAAAAATGAAAATGGCCATCTAGATTCATTCGATTTTGTTAATTTTTGGTATGACCATAGCCAAATGTTGACAGACAGACGGACGGACGGACGGACAACGAACAACGCCCCATGGCAATAGCTCATCTTGACGATCTCAAGGTGAGCTAAAAAGCAAACAGCGAAAAACTCGGAAAAAAACGCCAACTCAGTGCTGCCCTCAGTAGCAATTGCCGTAGCATGCGATAGGCGGGGCTCCTTAGCAGCTGAGTACACGTACGGGAGCGGCTACCTGAGAGTCATCACTGCCGGCACAACCAGCATAACGAGGATGCTGTGTTGTGGCGACAATCCGGTAGCTGTGAGACCGGCGTAGGAGAGAGCACCGAACAGCCCCGCTCCACCGGTGCCCGACGACCACGACGACACCGTGTTTCTGCAAGAGCGGCATATACGTGCACACGCGAGCGGAGATTTTTCTGTTTTCTCTCTACATTGTGAAACGACGTCTTCGACCTTTGGCGTGGCTAATAGTGTGAATAGCGGGGGAAGGGTCACGAGTGCACTTTAAAGTGATTACGTCCCGAATTTCTAGCACCATCAAGTAGTACATTTGTGTGTTATTTGTACAAAATAAAATGTATGAAAATACAATTAGTGTTTCTGTTTACTTTTCATGCTTATATACCTTCTTTATATGCCCTAATTTGCCGGTGAAAAACAGAGAGACGCCAGTATCTGAAACAGTACGTGTGGGGAATAGTGTTAGACAACATAGAATTACCAATATCGTCCAGATTTTTGCAAATTACCACGCAAACATTTTATCGAGGTGAGAGTTTGAGGATAATAGTACCCGTTATTATACTTTTTTAATGTAAAAAAATGGCCAATGTTTATTTTTTTAGCAATTTTACCACACCCCCTAGAAAATTCGTGACGTAGTCCCTTTAACGAGAACGTGGTGGACGGCAATAGAAATGTCAAGCGTGTATTGGCTTTTAATTAACCGCAATACTGCTGCGAGTCAGAATGACAACGCTTACGTACGTTACGTTACTCACGTATACGCATACGCAACGTTACGTATGTAAAACAGATGTTTTGAAGAATATTTTTTGAACCACCGAGCTTTGCGTGGGCCAGCCTGCATGCTCTCTTACTTGTGGTAGAAAGCAGTGAGTCCAAGAAATGTGAGCTCTCCCAGACCAGAGCTAAAGCTTGCACAGGCCACACCTATGACGAGAAAGTGGGCATCAGATATAAGAGAAAGTAGGATTTTCTCTTTTGACCAATCTACTGTCAGAACAGGTTGGTTTATAACATTTCTATGCAACTAAACCATATACATGTACATCAACCTTGGAACACTAGCATTACCTGATCAATTGATTATTGATTATTGTATTTATACTCTTATTTATTTACTCAACATATTCCATTTTCAATTGTCATTATAGTATCTTATATATATATATATACTATATATATTATCAATATCACATGTGAAAGTGTAAGCATCGAAAGCTTACCTAATAAACCTCATACCAGATCCCTAACTGAAGCAGGCAACTATTATAAGTCTGCAGTGGCGGAATAATATGGCTATGGTAGCTCTAATCCTGCAGGAATATAACTTTTAGTTCAGACATCACATTGCCGTATGCATCAGTGACCTCGTCTTTCCGCAAGAATGTTAATTTATCTCGCCGACATAGTATACGTGATAGTGACATGACAACCACATTCTTAATCATCATGCACACGATATATATATTCATCAGGCAACTCATCAGATCACTGTCAGCGGTCAGCGTGTATGATTAATGCAACATCAAAAATATCACAGAAACAGGGTGGCAAAATAAACGTGAGTCCGGAGTCAAATACTCCCTGATTTTCTGTCGAACTCCTGATTTGACCATATCAGTCCTGAGTCGCGTGCGACTCCGGAAAATTCTGTCTATACTAACTATGTTGCGTTCCAGAGTTGGTCCTTGATCCTTTTAAACCCAGCTGTTGATGCTGCGTAGTTATAACCTAAGCTGTTCATGGTTGGGGTCTGTCTTAACCCTAGATAATTTGGTGTCTGGCTGTTTTAATGTAGCTGATTGGTGTTTTCACCCAGGTTTTAAAAACTAGTTGATCCCTCGGTGGTTGGGTTGTTGTACAAAGGTCATTGTGTTTGGGCAGTTTTTAAATTCGGTGACAAGCAATTGGGAGTTTTTATCTTAATTAATGAGACACGATCCGAAGATATACTCCCTACGCACTTTCCCTGTGTGTAACTCCGGTGGCACCCATAATGCGAGCCGTCATCTCACATGAGGGAAGCAAGATGTCAGCAAGGCAAGATGCCTGCAAATAGCAGAGTTACACTCAACATCAGAAAAGATGCTTATCATCTCAGAAATTCTTGCTTTTTTAAGTAGTTCCCCAAAATAAGATTTTTATTCTTGTAAATTTATTTAATTTAACAAATCTCACCTCAATGGCTTAGCTATGTACTCAAGTGGTGAGATTATTCTACTAGAGCAATCACCCTGTTGATAGCTGGTTGCATTTCTTGTGTGAGGTGGCAGTACGGGGTAGTATCTGCATCGTAGGTGTTACACTTCTGCATCTGTCCAAGAAATATTGAGATGAGAAAATATTACTTCTATGCTATTTGAACTTACAATGAATCTGAACCTGTTACAATCTACTTATCATGAAGTATTGTGTTATCAGATTTCGTATGCAAGATAGTTTGGGACCCAGTCATATGCTACCTAACGTAGAGACAATTATAGCATTACGGCTGAGGCTCTGGTACTTTCCTGCTCGCTAGTATCGTCATAAGGCAGCACTTAACATGATGAACAAATCGCCGAAGCTTGTTGCACAGCCTTCAGTAGCCTAAAATCATAAATTTCATATCAGTGATGTAATTTAAGTTTTAATTTTTTTAAATTAATGCAGTGCGAATACATTCATTTATCATTTTAGCTCTAGTAACTATAGGCCCGCGTAAGTTTGTCGCAGGGCTATAGAACTTTATATGGCAACTGCGTATGAGTTTTATTCTCACAACTTTTACCCTATAATAACTTCTTCGGTATGCCAAATAAAACACATTCTCTGCCGGACAAATGTCTTAAGTTACTATGAACACTAAAATACAACAGCAAACTATCGCTTAAATATTGTAGTAATTTGTACTTGCGATATTACTCGTCACCGAAGATTGTTTATCAACTTGTAACCGCCATTTCTCGTTGCGCACGCTCGCGCGGTTCCGGCACCCGCTCACTAGCGCCGGAACCGCGCGACCGTGCGCAACGAGAAATGGCGGTTACAAGTTGATAAACAATCTTCGTCGACGAGTAATTTCGCAAGTACAATATTTAAGCGATAGTTTGCTGTTGTATTTTAGTGTTCATAGTAACTTAAGACATTTGTCCGGCAGAGAATGTGTTTTATTTGGCATACCGAAGAAGTTATTATAGGCTAAAAGTTGTGAGAATAAAACTCATACGCAGTTGCCATATAAAGTTCTATAGCCCTGCGGCAACTGTACGCGGGCTATAGTTACTAGAGCTATATCTCATTGGTTCAAGGATAGAGAACATGGGGCCCAATAAAACCAATATCATTTACATCAATATAAATATAATATTATATCAATATAATAGGTTAGGGTTATGGTTAGGGTTAGGGTTAGGGTTAGAATTAGGGTTAGGGTTAGGTTTAGGCACATTGGTTTTATTGGGCCCCATGTTCTCTATCCTTGGGCCAGTGTGTTACATCATGCACACAAACTATGTAATAAACCAGGCCACTTCCACATTCCACCTACAGAATTACGCAGTTCCTGCAGAAGTGACGGCATAAAATGATATGGCCCAAGTGTTTATTCTACATCTATAGTAGAAGCTGATTTTGCGGCAAACTGCCAGGGATGATTGCTCTGTGGCAAGCTACGCGATCAATGCAAAATGTACATAATTATAAGAAGATGGTGATCACTAGATCTGGTATCTGTTTGCAGGTTTTCATTTTATGCCGTCAATTCTGCAGGAACTGCGTAATTCTGTAGGTGGAATGTGGAAGTGGCCTGGTTTATTACATAGTTTGTGTGCATGATGTAACACACTACCTATTACTAGTAATTGATAGATCAACACGAACCAAAATCCAACAATATCTCTCCTATCTTTCCATTTATTGTCAGTATCCATTCTGATGTTTACAGTGGTTAGTGAAAGGCGATGCAGTCGCCACCTATCGGAGGTATAGGGCACGGTACCCCGGTTTAGCCACGGAACTATATATAACAAAGTATAAGGTTAGACAACATTGTTATAGTTCAGTGGGTTTAGCCGGTGTCGCATTGAGAAAGATGACCCTATCGAAAAGGTTGGTCCACGTGGTTTTCAGCGCGTGGCAGGCTGGTAGGCGTGGCCAGAAATCACTGAAGCGTATACCAACTGACCAACCGTGTTCAAGCAGGTGTGATCAATGAAGCGTTTATTCCATTTTCAATTGTCATTATATATATATATATATATATATATATATATATATATTATCAATATCACATGTGAAAGTGTAACTGAAAGCTTACCTAATAAACTCATCCAGATCCCTACTGAACAGGCAACTATTATGAAGCTGGCAGTGGCGAATAATATGGCTATGGGTACTCTAATCCTGCAGGAATATAACTTTAGTTCAGACATACATTGCAGTATCATCAGTGATGCTCTCTTTTCGCAAGGAATTGTAATTTATCTCGCCGACATAGTATAGTGATAGTGATCATGACAACAACATTCTTAATCATCATGCACACAGATATATATATTCACAGGCAACTCATCAGATGCACTGTCAGCGGTCAGCGTGTATGATTAATCAACATGCAAAAATGACTCACAGAAACAGGGTGCAAAATTAACGTGAGTCCGGAGTCAAATACTCCCTGATTTTCTGTCGAACTCCCTGATTTGACATATGCAGTCCTGAGTCCGTGCGACTCCGGAAAATTCTGCTATACTAACTAGTTCGTTCCAGATTGGTCTTGATCGCTTTTAACCCAGCTGGTTGATGACTGCGTAGTTATAACCTAGCTGGTTCATGGTTGGGCTGTCTTAACCTAGATAATTGGTGTCTGGGCTGTTTTAATGTAGCTGATTGGTGTTTCACCAGTTTTAAACTAGTTGATTGGTGGTTGGGTTGTTGTAACAAAGGTCATTGTGTTTGGGCAGTTTTAAATTAGGTGACAAGCAATTGGGATGTTTTTATCTTAATTAATGATGAACGATCCCGAAGATATACTCCCTACCACTTTACCTGTGTGTAACTCGGTGCACCCATAATGCAGCCGTCATCTTCACAATGAGGGAAGGCAAGATGTCAGCAAGCAAGATTGCCTGCAAATAGCACGAGTTACACGTCAACATAGAAAAGATGCTTATCATCTCAGAAATGTCTTGGCTTTTTTAAGTAGTTCACCCAAAATGAAGATTTTTATTCTGTTAAATTTATTTAATTAACAAATCTCAGCTCAATGGCTTAGCTATGACTCAAGTGGGTGAGATTATTCTACTAGACAATCACCCCTGTTGATAGCTGGTTGCATTTCCTTGTGTGAGGTGGCAGTACGGTGGTAGTATCTGGCACCGAGGTTGTTACATTCTGCATCTGTAAGAAATTAATTGAAGATGAGAAAATTATTACCTATGCTATTTGAACTTACAATGACATCACTGAACCTGTTACATATCTACTATCGAAGTATTGTGGTTACAGATTTCGGATCAAGGATAGTTTGGGACCCAGGTCATATGTGCTACCCTAACTTAGGACAATTATTAGCATTACCGGCTGAGGCTCTGGACTTTCCTGCTCGGCTAGTATGTCATAAGCAGCACTTAACATGATGACAAATCCGAAGTTGTTGCACAGACCCAGTAGCCTAAAATCATAAAATTTCATATCAGTGTGAATTTAGTTTTTAATTTTATTTAAATTAATGCAGTGCGAATACATTCATTTATCATTTTTAGCTCTAGTAACTATAGCCCGCGTACAGTTGCCGCAGGGCTATAGAACTTTATATGGCAACTGCGTATGAGTTTTATTCTCACAACTTTTAGCCTATAATAACTTCTTCGGTATGCCAAATAAAACACATTCTCTGCCGGACAAATGTCTTAAGTTACTATGAACACTAA